CTGGGTTTTTCCATTTTTTTCATGAGTCGGGGTCTCACTCTCACTCAGACAAGCCTCGAACTCAAGCAGTCCTCCCGCCTCAACCTCCCACAGTGCTGGGATTACAGGCCTGAGCCCCTGCACCCGGATTTTTGTTTGTTTGTTTTTTGATACAGCACCTCTGTCACTGAGACTAGAGTGCTACGGCATTGTAGCTCACTGCAACCACTGCTATGTCAATGGATCCAGCAAAGGGAAATAGGTGGCCAGGTTGAAGATAAAAAGAAGACACAGTCTCCCTTCCCTCATGCCTTCTCACCTGCTGGCCTCTTACCTATACATGGGGATATTCTGCTTTTAATTAGAATAAGAAACAAATCATTTTTATATTTTCTGTTGAAACTTGAAGTTTTAAAAACAATTTGTAGCTTAAGTCTCTGATTTGGGGACATAATACAACTTGCCTTCTTATTCATGTCCACCCTCATTTTAAACTGGGCCTCGGTCTCCCCATCTTAAATAAGGAAATGGGATTAGATAGATAGCTTCTAAAGTCTCCTGCACCCAGGACTTTCTGATTCTTTACTTCCCTTTTTCTTAACACCCACTTCAGAGAGGAAAAAGCAAATCTCCTAGTTGATAGTGACCTGCCACAGATCGAGACTTAGCAGCTGATGGATTCTAATCACCAGACTCTCAGGGGATCAAAAAAACCATGCCCAGTTAAGCCCGGGCCTCGCCATGGGTCTCACAGCACCCCTTCCCAGTCCTTCCCCCCAACTCAGTCCTGACTCTTAAAAGAGACAGGAAGAAAGAACAAAACAGAAAAGCTCAATGAAGAACCAGTTTACGAACAAGGGCAGCTCCTTTTGAGACTAAGGGTTTGGTTTACTCCACTGTGGAGGGCAGGCATCCCGAGACTTCCACCAGGCCTCATGTGGAAGCAGAGGGCTGCATGGCAGCACCATGTCACTGGTGTCTGCTATCTCCAGCTGTGTCGTCTTATCCCCCCTGGCTGTGGAGAGTGACTGCCAGATTCGTCTTTTGCAGGTTGGCGGAGATTGATGGATTCTTTGCAAAAAACTCCGAAGAGTACCTGGCCTTGATCTTTGAGAAGGAAGACTCCTACATAGGTAGAGAGGTGAGCTGCCCTCGAGTCTCCTACAAATTCTGGATGCCACTGGAGACCCCCAGCTGAGGAGCAGGGCTTTGCCTGGCAATTCCAGGCTCTTGGCTGACAGCCTCATAGCCCGGCACTGGCCTGTCCCCTGCTGGGAGAAACAGGAAGTGCAGGAGCTGAACCTTTCCGTTTTACAACCTTTATGTCTATTCTTCTCTCTTACTGAAACCAAATATAACACCTGCTGTTCACTGTGCATTGGACTAGATTTCTGGCACACATGGTTTATAACCCCCACAGTTAACTAAGATGATCAAATAACACGCCCAAGATTACACAGCTGGCGAATTGGCAGAGTGTAGCTGGGAAGCAGGTCTGTCTGGCCCCAGAACTCATGTTGTTTCTACACTGCTCCACCTGCTTGGGGTTAAACATTTGGGAGGGAGGGAACATTAGAGGTGATCCAGGCTCTCACAAGGAAATGGGGGGTCCGTTTTGCTGGGTGAAGGCTCAAAAAGTTGAACAAGCTGGCTAGGCATGGTGCCTCACACCTGTAATCCTAGCACTTATGGAGGCCAACGCAGAATTGCTTGAGCTCAGAAGTTCAAGCCTCATAGTCCAGCACTGGCCTGACCCCTTAATTTCCACTCCATCTCTTACATGTTATATGCCCATGACCAAAATGTTCAACTTCTTTTTGATTTTTTGAGACAGCATCTCACTCTATCACTGGGACTCAAGTGCTGTGGCATCATAACTCACTGTAACTTCTGGCTCAAGTGATCCTCCTGCCTCAGTCTCCTGAGTAGCTGGGACCATAGGCATGCCACCACCATGCATAATTTTTCTGTTTTTTTGTAGCTGTTTTTTTTTGCTCTTGTTCAGGCTGGTCTTGAACTCCTGAGCTCAAGCCATCCTCCTGCCTTGGCCTCCATAAGTGCTAGGATTACAGGTGTGAGGCACCGTGCCTGGCCAACTTGTTCAACTTTTTGAGCCTCATTTCCCTGTCCATAGAGTAGTGATGATTACTTTTCTTCATGATATTTGCTGAGAAAGTCAAATGAGGCAATTTAGGTAAAGGGCCTGGATTAGTAACTGGGATATAATAGGTGCTTTTTTTTTTTTTTTACTTTATTTTTTATTTTTTTGTTGTTGCAGTTTGGTCGGGGCTGGGTTTGAACTCACCACCCTCAGTATATGGGGCTGACACCCTACTCACTGAGCCACAGGCACCACCCAGTAGGTGCTTTACATCCATTCCCTTTGCCTAATGCAGAGAGCTCTCTGCTCTGCCACTGGCTCATGGATGACACAGGCCACTTTGAGCTTTTCCCAGCTGCAAAGGTTGGACACCCCAGTATATGGGAGATGTTCCAAGACAGTCCCAGGAGACAGATAAGATGTGAGAGTAGGAATGAGATCAAACACCACTGTTGGCTCTGAGTGATTTTCCCATTGAAACTCATCAAACGCACTTGAGAGTCCTAGCTAAAACCAGAGACCGTCTCCAGGCCTCTCAGCCCTGAGAAGGGAGGCACCAGGAATGGAGAGGGGCTGAAGAAGTGGCTGGCCCTCTGGGGTTCCAGTCCATGCCCCAGGTCATGCTTATCAAGTAGAAGTGATTGGTAAATGGTGATAGAATCATCTCTTCTCCCTCGCCTCCCCACAGCCCACTGAGACACCAGGGGAGGGGGCCACCATGGTCTGAGCCAAGGGCCCCACATACATGTGGGCACGCTAATGATGCTAAGGGAGTCAGGAGGGTCTCAGAGCTGAGAGCCCAGGCGCTGGGGCCAAGCTGAGCTGGGATTTATAGCCTAGTTCAGATACATGTGGCTATGTGACCTGGAGGCATGATTTTACATTTAAGATCCAGTTTCTTCAGCTATAAAATAGTTTTATTTTATTTTATTTTATTTATTTTTTGAGACAGAGTCTCACTGTATTGCCCTTGATAGAGTGCTGTGGCGTCACAGCTCACAGGGACCTCAAACTCTTAGGCTTAAGCAATTCTCTTGCCTCAGCCTCTCAAGTAGCTGGGACTACTGGCGCCCATCAAAACACCCAGCTTTTTTTTTGTTGTTGTAGTTGTCATTGTTGTTTAGCTGGCCTGGGCCAGGTTCAAACCCACCAGCCCTGGTATATGTGGCTGGTGCCCTAACTACTGACCTACGGGTGCTGAGCCAAATAGTTTATTTTAAAATAAATACATACTACATCATTACTAGTCATTGTTACACACATTTTTATAAAATTAACCTGAAGTTGATGGTATGATGATGATGATGATGATATTGCTGGAGCAGGGAGAGATTTAGCCCCATAGAGGATTCAAACACAGGGAGCCGTCTGTACTGCCCTGCCTCGCTTAGCCTCCTAAAAATAGATCCTGTTTTAGTGTTCTGAAGATGATGCAAGGCGATCTGTATACAGTACACAGTGCACACTCATCAGTGTTAGCTAATGCTTGCCTTTTATTTCTGTCTAAAAATAATCGGCATGTTTGATACGTTTATTTTTCTGATTTGAAATATAGATATGAAGCTTTATAAGCATAAAAAGGAGGGAGTTTTAGTGGCTCCATTGTGAGGAGGACTTAGAAGTCAGTAACAGAAGCCTGCCACCTGCCATTTGTGTTTGTCACGCACGGTCATGCTGAGGACTTCTCATTCCTGATGTGGGGATGTTGTCATTCTCTACCAATCCTCTTGTCACCTTCAGAAAACCCCAAGTTACAAAACCTGTTCAGGCCTTACTATAAATACACATGTCCCTCTGACCATCCAGGCTCAATATGTCTATTCCAGAGGTTTATTTTGCTCATGTCTGACCCATAAATTTATTATCATAAAATCATAGTTCTTTTTTTTTTTATTCCAGGTTAATGTGAGGGTGCAAACACCTAGGTTATAATATTTGCATTTGTTAGGTCGAGTCCCTCTTGTAGTTGTGTCCTGCACCCAAGAGGTGTGCCATACACCCTTACATTGTGCCATTCAGTGGGAGCACATCAGAAAACCATAATTCTGGCTCAGCGCCCATAGTGCAGTGGTTATGGCATCAGCCTGGCCCATCAGCCTGGGCCAGCTAAACAATGACAACTGCAACAAAAAATAGCCAGCGGTTGTGGCAGGCACCTATAGTCCCAGCTACTTGGGAGACTGAGGCAAGAGAATCCCTTAAGCCCAAGAGTTTGAGGTTGCTGTGAGCTATGATGCTACGGCTCTCTACTGAGGGCCTCAAAGGGAAACTCTGTCTCAAAAAAAAAAAATCATAGTTCTTTAAAAGTCGACTGTGATTCAAGTTTGATTAAAAAAACTGCTCTTGTCTCCAACAATTGAGGTTTCAAACAAACAATGCCTGGTAAGTTCTTAAGGGATTGGCTCGGCATCTGTGGCTCAAGTGGCTAAGGCACCAGCCACATATACCTAAGATGGCAGATTTGAATCCAGCCCAGGCCCACCAAACAACAATGACGGCTGCAACCAAAAAATAGCCGGGCGTTGTGGTGGGTGCTTGTGGTCCCAGCTACTTGGAAGGCTGAGGCAGGAGACTCGCTTGAGCCCAGGAGTTGGAGGTTGCTGTGAGCTGTGATGCTACAGCACTCTCTCTACCCAAGGGGATAGCTTGAGGCTCTGTCTCAAAAAAAAAAAAAAAGTTCTAAAGGGATTGCCCAGCAATGGCTATTATGAGAAGGCCTTGGGGAATCTTGGGAAATCACAGAGCAGTCAGATGTTGGGGTGGGACAGGCTTAAGCACACGAAAGTGCTTGCTCAGGACAAAAAAACAAGAATAAAAATGAAAGCACATTTTATTACACCTTTTACAGGTTGCTTTTTTTTTTTTTTTTTT